GTGACACCAGGGACAGAGGGGAGCTCACCTTTGCAGGAAGACTGGTTTCAGCAAGAAGCCATCGTTCTGGCTGCTTGGGGCTCCCTCCACCCCAACATACTGCTCCATGTAGTTGGCCAAGTGCTACACAAGAGAGACCATTTCCAAGTCATTTTCCTCTTCAGTCAGAAAAAAATCAGGTACAACTTCCCCAATTTTTCTAGCCTGCTTTAGTGCTTAGTTCCTACTACAGCCCCTGACCCCATGGACAGGTAAACCTACTAGTCTCCGACAAGAGCCTCTAGGACCAACTGTTACAACCCTGCACATGCTCGTCCTCCCGACACAAACTCACAAGTTGGAGCAAAGACAGAGGGGAGCGCCCCTAGCAGCCTGCTCTGCCAGTGGTGCTGAGGGGGTTCTGGTTCCACTACTGCATTACCTGGACCTCAACAGGATCTTCTGTTTGGGTTTCTTCTGTATCCAATAGCTCAATGGTCATGATCACTTGCCCTTTCCTCTGAAGAAACATTACCTGTAGCAAAGGGATAGACACAGGGAAGTTAGCTGAGGCTGTTCTCTTTTCCCCTAAATTCTGTCCCTGGGGCTTCCAGAACCAGCCCTAAATAAATGTCTCCTAAATCTCTTCCAGCCCCTGCCCTCTACCCACTCATCCCAGGTAACTCCTCCTGTTTGGTCCAGCTGCTGCCTCATCTAGACCTCTCACGTGCAGCATGCTGAAGCCAAGCTCCATCTTCACTTCTGAGTTTCCTTGTAGCTCTTCATGCCCGGTAACTGCTGGCTACTCGCCTTCCTCCCCATCACTGGCCTGGTGTTCTGGTTAAGATGCCTCTCACTTGCTCACCCCCGTCCAAGCTATTGCTAAATTCTACCTGTATGTCCTCTGCAAGTCTTTCCCTTAAACAATCCCTACAACTGGAACCACTACTCAGAGCTTTTCTTTCACTTTTCATGGCCACTGTCCACCCTCATGGACCAGTCCCCTGCAAACATGCTGGAATCCCTTGGTCTCTCCCTACTGAAAGCCCTTTCTGAAAGTGTCTGTCTGCAAAAACCTGCCTACTCTAACCCACAGCAGAAATCGACAAACCAAGATCCATGGTGTAGTCAGCATTCGTGACTGTGACACAAAGGGCAGGAGCTGCCTTCTTTCTGCACTGCTTGTACGTTGCTGTGTCTTCACACTTTCTACCCAGCCCGAGACCAAAGCCCTTGGGAAAGGGGCACTCTTGTCCATTTGCTTCCAAAGCAACGCCCCCCAAGAGTCAGCATTGCTAGGTCTGCTCTGTTTGCAAAAGAAACGGTCTCTCTGAAGGAGGTTTGATCACCTTTCTGAAGGAGGCTTGGTCCAGCAGCTGCTAGCTGCAGGGGCAGGACAACTCCCCAGCAATCTGACCCAAGAGGCATTCTGTTCAGAGCAATCTGAATTAACGAGACACTGTGCTCTCAGGAAGTCGGACTGCAGCTGCCTACGCTTCCTGTGCCAGCTCGCTCTGCACTCACCTTGAAGCAGTTCTCATCTGCCATGCAGCGCTCCGCCTTCCACTGGTAGCTGGTCTCCTTGGCTGCCCGCACACACCTGGAGGACAGGTTGCCTCCAGCAGCACCACGCTTCCTCTCATTCAAATAAAGTTCAACAACCTTCAGGCAGATGTCGTCACTCACAAGGTGGTGAAGCTGTCAACAGGCCAAGAAGGGTTTCAACTCTCACAAGAGACTTGCTGAATGGAGAATGCAGCATCCACCACCGTACACCTCCAGCCACTTCCACACCCGATTCTTCCTCTAGACTTGATCCTGCATGCCTCCTACAGGCATCTCTGTAACAGCAGCAGCCTTGTGCAAGGGGTACTCGCACAAGTGACTTAATGTGACTAGCACACGACTCAGCCTCCTGATAAAATGCTCATTTAGAGCATCCGATTCTTAAGCTGGTAACAGAGACCTAGGTATTCCACTTCTGATGGACAAGCTGCGGTTACCAAGGAGTTGTGGGCTCAGTCAATTCTGCCTTGCTACACCTGCCCTGGAGGGTGCAGACAAAAAGGGAGGCCTGAGCTCAGGCTGTAGCAGACTGGGAGATGGTGGTGGTTGTCTTCCATGAAAGAAGCCTGCTAAGGTCAAGGCCTATTGGAAATGCCACGAGGCAAGGTAGGCCTGAAACAGACCCTGACAGAGTGGACGACCCTTCCCCTTGAGCCTGTTACATTTGTTTTAGGAACAATGCCCTGAAATTAAAAAAAAGAAATGCTGTGGTCCGTGAGGAAGATTACTCTGGGGTGGCCAGTTTCACAGAGGGGCAGGAGTGCTCTTCCCAGCTTCCGAGCGAAGCTCTCCCAGAACCAGCAGGAGCACTGCAGGCGCCCCGAGGGAGGTGAGAAGAAGGAAGCTGTAATTCCATACAGATTACAGGTAAACAGAAGGGAAAAGACAGAAGTGGCTTCAGCTCAAACTGCACTTCCACCTGTCTTCACTGGCAGTCATTTTTCTGACTCCCCACCCCCCCCCTTTCCAAAACCTGAGAGAGAGATTACTGACATCTCAGGACAATGTAACTTTTTAAACTGCAATACTTTGGGAGGGGGAGGAGAGGTCTGGCTACGAGAGGCCAAAACCGGTTATGGCTTGCTTGCTTGCCTTACCAAGATGCTATCACAAGTGTCAGAGGAAGCTCCTCTAAGCTTTGCTAGGTCTCTCCATCATGTGGTGAACTTGCAGATCTTATCAGCAGGCTGGGGAGAGGTTGGGCCCAAGCTGCGTGGTAGGGGCACTAAGATAATTTGAGGGCTGGTTACCTGGCGGACAATATTCTGCACCAGCTTGTCCATGGTAAAGCCGATGTAGGCATGGATTGTGAACATCTCTCTCAGGGTGTCCTCGTATTGTGTGGGGTCAATGTTCCCATCCAGCAGACTCCTCACCATGTCCAGGAATGCTGGGTAGTATTCCTCCAGCTCCACCTCACCTGGGCAAGATAAAAAAGAGCAGTCACTTGCTGCACACAGGAGTGGCCAGAGACAGGAGATTTAGCAGAGAACCACACTCACCTCCACAATCTTGGTGCCACAAATGTTTTTACAAATACAGAACAAGATACTTAAAGCACCAGCTACGTCCTTCCAGAGAGCACTGTTGGCTCTTGAAAGAGCTAAGAGAACAGCCTGACCATCTGCCTCGATGACACTGCACTCTCATACACATTTTAACTCTAAGCAACAAAGTAAACACCAAAATGCTATGTAACTATTTTCCCATGCTCTCAACATCTGTATTGGAGATAAAAGCATACATGGTACAGCAGCTTATGGGCTTGCAAAAGGTGTGAACAAGCTAAGACTACATCCCTTAGCTTTTAAGCCACCCACTAACTACACTGGTTACATGTATGCAAGTAACATTTATGAATCTGCATGTTTAAAGAGCCAGACGTTGCTGCAACTATACTGCTTGCAGGCCAGCATGCTGGTCCTGGGTACCGAGATAAAAATGGTTTTGCATAAGACAACTCCAATGTTGACAGCAAAATGGGTCTCTGACTGCAGGAGGGTCTTACTTGGTTGCTTCAGTCTCAGTTCCATGGCTGGATCATTGGTTTTCTCTTTCCTCCCATCACACAGGAGTTTCTCTCTCTCCTTTTCAGACCGATACTCTAGAAGCTGCTTCTGAGCCTGACGATAAATCTTTAAGAGTCTTGAGCAGAGAGTCTGGTGAAGGCGGAGGAAGAAATACCAGTTGTTATTGACAAAGAACAGGCTGTAAACGTCATCCAGAGTGTTGTGGGGTTCGGCCGCCGTGACATCGCAGAACATTGCTTTTGTGTCTAGAGGGCTGCTTGGCAGCACCGGTGCAAGCTTCTTGCGTAACTCGGCAGTATCTAGCACCTGCGCCTGATGGTGCTCTCTGTCCTCATCTGTTGACTCTTCAGAAATGCTGTGCTCAGGGGGTGGAGAGAAAAACAGCTCTGGTATGAAGTGATGCACTATTTGCCGAATGGTGGCCTGGTCTTCCTTCTGGATGGTGGGCTGTCGTTTCACATAGTAGCTGATGAGAGAAGCTGCATCTTCCAGAATCTGCTTATCCTCATAAATGAATATAAGGTGAGGCTCGTTTGTGGAGGAACTTCTCCCCTCTGAATGCTGCTCCTGATGCTGTAATCGAGAGACAAAGGGATCAGTTCTTTTCCATCCCTTCCCAGGAGCCACTCCTGCCACAGGAAAGCAGCCTGTTTTAATTGGGAAGTACCTCTCATCTGAAATTAAAGATCTCTCCAAAGCAGAAATGGTGTCTTCCTCTGACTACAGAGCACCCACCACAATGAGGCCCAGCTATGACTCCAATCCTTGGACATTAATTGTAAACAATAGAGCAGACTTTGCCAGCATACACACCTCGTCATAGACACTCTCAATCTCATTCAGCAAGCTCTTGGAACGCAAGGCCTTGGTATCATTTTGCTTGAAGTTGACAGCCTGGTGGTCAAGAGACTTCAGATAAGCTTTCTCATACTGCTCCCGCCAGATCTTGTTGAAACCCTGCTGGGCCTCCCGCCATTCTTCCTCCTTTGCTTTCAACCTGCGTGATGCAGAATGTGCTGTTCACCTAAAAGCCAGACTACAGAAATCCTTATGCAATGTTGTTTGAGCAGCCTGCTGAGATGCACCAACACTTTCAATATTCTTAGAGCAGGGCGGGCGCAAGGAACACTCTGATAACCAGGCATGCCTAGAAATGCACAGCTTCATAAACGGACATCAATAGAATATAGTAGTCTAAGCCCCCTGAATGTTAGAAGCTTGGACAAACCACAGGAAAGGGTCTAGAACCTTAATAATGCTCTCACACTTCTGGAACACTATTTTCAGGACCACAGAGATCCTATTCAGCTCTCTGCTTTACACACAAGGGTTAGAAATGGCAGGAGAACTTATACGCCAAATGTAGAAGATTAAGAGTTAACAGGAGGGGATCTGAAGCCCCAGTTTCTTGTTTTACATTAAACTAAGCGTTTTTGGAAACAATGCCCCTTATAAAAGGAGGATTTGGAAGTCTAACTTATGTTTAAATGTATGTTTAAATACATTTGAGAGCAACTTGAAAGGAAACACTAGCTAAATCTGGACCATAAGAAGCCATTTACAATTGAAAGATGGGTTTAGTTTAGTTATGGACTTGGAGAGAATTTACTTCTCTTACTTCCATGGTAGCCCAAAAAGCAATCCAGTTATACAGTTATCCTCAAAGTGCACAGCAATCACCAAATTGGGGCAAGGAAAGGAACTCTACTTCTAAGGAAACACACAGTTCCCACAAGAACAACAGTGCATTGTCATAATCACATGTGCACACTCCAGATGGTAGGGAATGATTGCAGGCCAACCTGGACAGGTTAGAAGAGTGGGCAGTACACAATAGGATGCAGTACAACAAGGACAAGTGCAGAGCACTGCACCTAGGGCACAAAAATATCCAGCACATCTACTGGCTGGGAAGTGACCCTCTCAGCAGCACAGAAGCAGAAAGGGATCTCGGAGTCATAGTGGACTTCAAGATGAAAAAAATCATCAGCAAAGCTAACCGCACTTTATCGTGCATCAGCAGATGCATGACAAATAGATCCAAGGAGGTGATACTTCCCCTCTATGCGGCATTGGTCAGAGCGCAGTTGGAGTACGGTGTCCAGTTTTGGGCACCGTACTTCAAGAAGGATGTCAATAGATTTGAGAGGGTCCAGAGGAGGCCACTTGTATAGTTAGGGGCTTACAGGCGAAGCCCTATAATGAGAGACTGAGGGACCTGGACCTCTTCAGCCTCCACAAGAGAAGGCTGAGAGGTGATCTCGTGGCCACCTACAAATTCATTAGGGGGATGCAGCAAGGGGTCGGAGATGCTCTGTTCCCCAGGGCACCTCTTGGGGTAACAAGGAACAATGGTCACAAACTGACAAAGAGCAGATTTAGACTAGATATCAGGAAGAACTTCTTCACGGTGAGGGTGACCAGAATTTGGAATGGGCTTCCAAGAGAGGTGGTGCTCTCTCCACCTCGGGGGTCTTTAAGAGAACTAGGCAGGGGGTTGGACTTGATGATCTGTTGAGGTCCCTTCCAAGCCCAACATGTAATGAGTCTATGAATTGCTGAAATAAGCCCTTCTTACATGGAGCTAAGAATCAGCTAAATATCTGAGATGGGAATGCTGTTGTTTAATATTCCATGCAACTGCTCACCTTTCCTCAGGGCACAGTCCTAGGCAACTAACTTCTGAACCAACAAGTTCTCACAGCTTGTACTGGTTAGTTGCTGAGAGCTCATAGTTGGAGAGAGGAATTACCTTTTCAGAACAACAGGAACAGCAGTAACCGGGTTTTTCTTAAGACTCTCAATGATCTCTGGGGCTTTGTCACCATAAATACGGTAGATAGCTCTACGCTGGATCACTTCTGACGTTCCTCCTAAGCAGTCATCCAGTCGGAACTTCTCCTGATCCTCTTGAGACATCCGAGAGAGCTTTTTCTGCACACTCTCTAGCACACGTATTGTGGCCAAATTGGTCTCCAGGACAACATCTAGCTGTGGGAGTTAATACAGGATACAGCATAAGGAAAGACTGTGCAGGAGGAAGTGGGGATCTGCTATGCTCAGATAAGGATTCCTGCTAGAAGAGTTCTCTGCTAGTACTCATAACTACAAGGGCAGTCTCCCTAGCCAAAGCAATGCTTGTGCAGGGAACATGTCAGGCAACTCAAACTATGGAGCATTCTAATAGTTTCTTTTGTCAAAGCTCTCTCTTTCCAGGATTGACTGGATATATCTTACGGGATGTCTTGTGCCGCATGTGCACTTGGGAGAGCTGGGCAATACAGTGCACTTGGCGTTTCTGGTTGGAGGAGATAGTGTTGAGGAAATACTCCCCAGGCCAAAAGCAGCATTTAAGCTACCACACAGGTAAAAGTACCAGCAGCAGCACTTGCAAGGGGTCCGCATGTAAAGGACAGGTCAAGTCCTCGAAGACTTTCCCTCCCCCCAGTACACAAGAGCATCATTAGGGTATTTGCCTTTCCTCTTGCAGACTAGAGAAGTGAAGAGTTGTTCACTACCTCTCATGCAAAGAAGCAAAAGGGGTCTCTTAGGAGAGAGTGACTTTGGGAACACAAGTCCACACCAAACCCAAAGGACAAAAGAAGAGGGACTAACACAGCAAGAAGATTAATAGTGTTTAGCATTTGGCTACAGGCTACCCATTCAACCATAACCCTAATAACTTTGAATTTTGCTTTTATATAGAAAACTGACATCATGGATATGAGACTTGAGTTCAATTGAAGAGCAGAAGCACCTCAAATCGTTCATCCTCACAACGGTGCAGCTGCTCCTCATAGGGAGTCTTTTTTGAGCTGACAAATGTAGAGTCCTCAGACCAGGATGGAAATGAAACCCAGGTATCATTTAAAACCTGCAACAAAGTCAAATGTGACATCAGCCAGCATCCCAGGAGACAGGGACTGTAGGAATTGGCTAAAGTAGCAATTCTAACACCAGTATGACACCTAGTTAGATGGTGCACGCGTGTCTTGAGGGGGTGGGAAAGGGGTGTTAAATTAACAAGGGTGACCATTTCTCAAAATAGCATGTGTGAAAAACCCCACCAGGGAGTTCTTCATATTTCTGAGGTGCCCTTTGCTGCTGGTAATGGAGGCAAAGGTGCCAGTGCCAATAGGGGTGGAGTTGGGAGCGCTCATTCTTGTAAACCCTTCTTCCAGTTGAGAAGAGCTGCTGTCACTACGCCATGTGTGACCTTTATGCAGACTTAGTTAAATCACTTTACCCTTCTGTATGGACATTCTTATGCACATAAGCCTGACTAATATAATATTGGATTTGCTCTTACTGGTAAATATACAGGTGCAAGCTAAACTGATAACCAGTTTTAGATGGATGAATGCACATACAAAAGTTGCAGCAGTATAACTTAAACCAGTATACCTTCTGCATTTACACGTGCCCTAAACACTCATGAGAAGGCAGCATTTCTGACGTCACTCTGGGTTAGACTGCCATTGCAGCCAAGCATAGGTAGTCGATAAGCTTAAGCTGCCAAATACCTCCTTGCAAATGGCTGTTCTTCCACTGCATTTTGGCTGTTGATAGGTTTTTGGAAGAGCCCGATAACTTGAACCTATACGTTTGCAGGAAGCATAATCTATTTCTCGACTCATTCCATCCCCAGATCGGTCACTCAGTGGAGAAGCAAACGAAAGCTCTTTCACGCCAAGGAATGACTTGAACTGTGCAAAGAGTTCTGGAAATTTCCTTTAAAAATAAACATACAAACAGGTAAGTGCAGTTGTTTGAGATGCTCTCTGCTACACCCCCGAACTAGTAATTATTTCTTCTCCCTCTTTCATATTTTAGAGGGTAGGGCAAAAACCAAACTAAAAGTAGCAGGTCAAAAAACCCTCCATAATTATCCTACCCGCTTTAATGACTCCCCTAAAAGTCTTTACCACCTTTTTGGCAGCAGGCAGCAAAGAACTCCCTTCAGAATCCTATCACTATTCCTTCTTAGCAGCTTAGTGAGTCCTTGTTCATTGCCATGACACTTCCCCCTTCCCCTGAATGGGAAAAGGCAAAACACTTCCCTACAAGATCCTGCCACAAATAGATTCCCTTTTTATAGTAGTAAGATTCTATGGTATTTAAAAGTTGGATAAGATGTTTTTCCCCTTCTAAATTAACCTTAAAATATTGGCTCACAAAGCCCAATAGAAAGCTGTAACGCAAGCAAATGTTTGAAAGCTCTACCATAACAGCCAGTCAGGACTTACCCTAAAAATGGGGTGACTAGCTGGAGAAGCTCTGAGCCTGACACTAGCTCCTGGTTGAAGAGTGCAATACAGCGAAGAAAGTTTTCATAGACTTCTTGACTTTTGAGTACTCTGCGCACCTAGGAGAAGGAAGGCAAAGGAACTATAACTAGCTTTATTTTTATACCGACATCCCAGATGGCTCTGTCCAAGTGGTTTAGCCTAATAACTGTGTATCCACTGGAGCACCATACCCAGAGGCACAGAAATGCCAGCTTTTAAAAAACAACTTAGTAACAAATTGCATCTTTACCAGTGTGAGGATCATAGACTTAGAAACAAAAATTCAGTAGGCAGCACACATGCTAGAAAATACAAGTTAAAGTTTCCTCTGGAGTCTCCTGAGCTTCTCCTGTTTACTGCCCTGCCCCTTTGAAGCCTGTACAGGTAGGTAATTGGGAAGGGCTGCCACCTGAAGGTATGGAGGAAGCCATACAACCCAACCAGTTGCTCTATACAATTGAAAAAGGCCACACACGCAACATGAGGGGCCAGATCACTGACCTTGTCGAAGAAAGAAAACTCTTGTAGCGTTCCATATTTTCCCACTGTTGCTACAGACAGGTCTTTGGTACCTCGCAGTTTCATTTTTTTCTGTTGAAGAGATCCAATATTTACTTCAATGTCTCAATTTTACTGAATGGCAAATACTTCTGCAAACCGCTAGCTCTGTGTCCTTATTCCCAAAACAGAAAAATGAGCGTTATCATGTCAAATCCCCTGTGGTATTCTGTATGAATGACACCAGCCCCTAGCTCCACATGAAAACAGCATGGCTCCGCATGAGGCAGAGTCCTGCAGACAGACATTTGTTCAAGGGGGTCGGTCAACTCAAGGCTTCCAAATTCCTGTATTACTTGACACCCGGCATGGGCATAACACTTTGTTTGATCAAAGGACAATGTACTCCAAACACATCTTTAAACATCCTTTTGTAAGTATCTTGAATGCTAATCAGTAAGTTCTCATTGGTTAGTCAGAGTAATGCTTCCACGTGCAGCACAACTTAGAAGTTAAAAAGCAATTGCCTAAATGCAACATGGATGATATAGCACTGTACAGTACCTGAATATTTCACTTATTTACAATAAGATACCTTTGCTGGGCCAGAAACAGGACGCAGCATCAATGGTCTGGATCGCTTCTTACTGTGTTCCAGGTTCTTTTCATGTTCAATTTTCTGGGCACTGTTCATTTCACATGGTCCATTTCCTGTGAACTGAAGGAAAGAATAAATGGTTTCAATATGTATTTCTTAGTTCGACAGAAATAAAGAACCCAATTTATTTGGGCAGAATAGAGAATATGGAGTAAGTGGGTGGCTTGCATACAACCAAGTAATAACTACAGCAACACTAACCGTAGAACCTTTGATAATGGTTTGAATCTGAAAGCACTTTTTTGCGCACCACAGATAAGTCAAAACCCTGCCACAGCCTCTTTATTGCTGGAGCAGCTAAATTAAAAACAACCAACAACCCATCACATTAAGGTACATTCTGTACTCCTGGAGCTACAAACAGCTCCAGGGCTAGATTAAAATTATTGACTGATGCTACAGCAGCATCTGAACAGCACCCTACAGAGATATCCTCTCACAGGAGCAACAGGATTTAGAACAGAGCTGTGCTGTGGCCCAAGCCTTCCTCCACTCCTCCCAAATTTCAAAAATCATCTTTCTGTGAGGTTTTCACCCACTGTCAACGATTTAATGGAGCTGCAGTTAAGGAACAAAAACAACATTCCTTTGACTTTTTTCCCCACAGAGGGAGCTGCTGAAAAAGCAGTCAGTTCAGACCTTCTTGTCAATGGAAGCTGCAGAAAAATAAGTGGCAGTCCTCCAAATAAGAGAGTTTTAACACTGCAAAATAATTCCCTCCAACTGAAAGCTGGATGGGTCGCAGTATATATATATATTTTTTGCAAGCCAAGATAACTGGTTTTCACACACAGCCCTTCAAGACCTCTCTCAAAAGTGGGGCGTCTACTTTCCACAGTGCATAAGTCTCAGTACCAAGCAAGCTAGAGAATCATCTCTTCACACACCACTTCTAAAAGGTCTCCAGAAAATTGTAACCACGGCCCCCAAAAGCAGTAACTTCAAAGAAGTTACACAAAACTGTTTGCTATGCGTTTCAGCTGAGATGGTGCAGGTTCTCTCTACTATGTCAGCCAGCTGCTCTGAGAAAGAGGTACAGACATGTCATCCACTCAGCTCTTCTCTGAGTTCCTTCACTCTGCAGTAATTTAATCACTCCTAGCCCAGATCCCATTACCTTAGTGCTAGTGGCAACTGCACAGATCCAAATCCTCAAAGGTATTTAAATGTCTAATTCTGATCAAATCAATGAATGGCAGGAACCCTAAATACCTTGTGAGGGTCTGGCCAAAATCCTTTGGTTATTTGTTTAGACATAATGCAGATCACGATGCAACTAGAAGACAACTCGGAGTAAACTATCTTTTATGCCTCACAAGAGCACACATACCAAAGACCTTTTAGCTTCAGGAAGGAACTGGCCAAACTCTGAGAGTAGATCCTCCTGTCCCCTGAAGAGATTTGCTACTTCAGTAAATACTTCTTCCTCCGACATGCCACGAAACGGCCGGCCCTTAGTGTTCAGCTGTTCTTTCTACCAACGTACAGACAGATGTTAAAAGCTACAGTAGTCAAGTAGTACATTCTGGTTAGCAAGAAAAATGGAACAGACAACCCACTGTGTTCAAAAGCCAAATACAGAAAAGAAACCCTTTAGATAGTTATCAACTGGCCCAGGATTCTTGTAGCAGTACAGTATGTACCATATAGGGTATCCCAGTTTGAGCTCAAGACCACCTTGCAAGTAGCAAGTGGGGACAAAACTATAGTGAAGCTTCAGAGCCTGAGTGGCTCAGGAAAGAGTTGTCAAACTCTTTAGACACCCCCTCTATGTGTCTGTAAATCTAGTCACAGTAGATAAAAAGCTTTAAAAAAATCACAAAGTTAAAAAAAAAATCCATTCTCCTTGCAGGGCTTCAGTGAGGCTTCTCCAACCTCATTCTCTAAACCCATGCCTGAAGCATTTGAAAAAGAATGTGCCTGGATGCTGAAGTGTTCCTGGAAGGGCTTGAGCCGAGCTGTGCACAAAGCCTGGCCTTGTTTATGTTTCCCCGTGTTCACATTCATCTGAGGGAGGCTGAATTTGGGGCAGCTTTTATAGTAAACCACAGTTCTCTATATACAAACAATGTGTAAGAATACAGGTTTCAAGTGGCCACAACAGTAAACCACAATCTCTTACTCACAGGAATTTTACCTGGTAAGTGTGAAGAATTTCTAAAAATGATCTGTAGATTTCTGGGTGGTCAAGAAAACGGGTTTTGATCTTATTCACATAGCTTATCGCATTGTTGAACTCCACAGAATCAGATTCCAAAGGGATCTGAGATTTATCTTCTTTGTACGGCAGTTGTTGCCTGTACTCCTCGGAACAGTCGCTGTGGTTGTGAGAATTCTCCTGAGAGTAATGCAGCAATAGTCCACTGCCAGGGAGAGCACTTGGAACAGGCTCCGAGGACACCTAGCGGCAGAAGTAATGCAAGCTAGTGAATCACGAACAGAAACAAAGCTACAAATTCAATAAAAATATTTTGCCTATATTTAGTCAGAGAAAAGTTACTGCATAGAAAAAGATTTAACCGCCCTGAGTTTCCTTACCTGTGTTACTAAGACCATCAATTAAAAAAAAAAAAAAAAAATAGGTGCACAGTTGAATTATAATTTTTCTTTCCATTTAAACTCAGGGTTACTTATATAACAACCAATCCGCATCTTTCGTATGTTAGAATAGAGCTTTAGACAAACGTTTACAATGCTTGAAAGTCTTCAACGTTAAAACCTCCTGAATAAGTTGCATGCGAAGGATGGTAATGTGTAAACACACTGACCGAGCTTCACCTTTGAGGTTTCCTCTCTGCCTGTTTGTATTCCGATTTGTATTATTACAAAACTTGCTCAACACAAATTTACAATCCCCAAGTATTACCTTTTGGATGTTTGAATAAAGGCTATAACTTAACCTGCTAAACTTTAAGGCTTTTCTCAAACATTTATATTTCCAGGGAAAAGAGGTTTGATTTTAATCGTACTGAGGGAGTTCCTAGACTTCATCAGAACCACTGGCAAATACCCAACATTTACATCCTCCAAAATTCTTGAAGGTAAACGCGCCCTGCCCAGAACACAGATATTGTACAGTGAAAAGGAAATTGTTATCATTTTCTTACTGTGTTTGCAAAAACTCAAGCAATGATACCAGACCACACCAGTGTTTGGCTAAAGACCATCCTGGCATGTGAACTTTACTAAACATACAATTTTACGAAGCAATGAAAAGAAAATGTTGAAGTTTGTGATGTAGTGAGGTACGTAACTATGTCTCCTTATTGTAACTGCCCCTATAAAATAAAAGTCAAGCAGTCTCAGCGCTGAGAACATCTCTGCAACCTTTCACTAACGAACTCTAGAGAAGTAGCGTCAAAGGGTTTGTAGACGTGCAGCTGCACCATGGGGCCAGCAGGGAGGAAATCCTACGTGCAGTTGTTCAGATTCCTTAGGAAAACAGCCTTTTTGAATTATGCCAGTGACAGCTGAACTTTATGCTTGTAGCTTACAGATGAGATTCAGAGGACAAAGTTATAGCTCACAGCCTTCAAGCTTAGTGGAATCCAAATGCATTGAATCTGACCATGCTCTCTGCCCTACATCTCTTGCCTATGGCAATGCTTGAAAACGGCTTATGCAATTATTAACTGAGTGTGAAAAGCAACTCCTCTCAAGCCAGTGCTGCCACGGCCTTTCTTAAGTGCCTCCAGGTACACGAGCAACACAGTTCCTTTGTCCCAGGCCAACCACGACTGTATGAACTGGTTCTGGAGCCAGTGTCCATCAGTAGCTAATGCAAGGAGGAAGGTTGAAGGATTCTAGCAGAAGAGTCTTTGTGATACTGGACCTTTTGAGAAGTGGGGGAATGAAAGAGAGGAATCTGACTAACTCCCAGGGAAGAATACACTAAATATGAGAGCTCTCTCTGAATAAGGGGTTCACAGCAGGGGGCCTGTAGGCCTTGTAGATAATCTCTGAAAGTATTTTACCCAGCAGCGAGTTTCAAGTGTCAACAAGACCTTGTATTACCACAACACATGGTGACTTCTCAGGTCCAGTTTTCATCAACAATTCTTCCACCAGAGCAGGCCTCATTTTCAAGGGATTTTCAAATGCTGTACCTGGACCCACTGGCCATGATCTTGACAAAGGAATACAGAGTAATCAAAATCCAATGACCAAAGGTCCGTGAGAAACCTGACAAGCCACCACTATTTCTGGTCGTCTGATTCACTAATGCTTGTGATTGGCACTACATTACCCTATCCTCTTCACTTTAGAGATTGTTTGAATTCACCCTGCAGTATAGTTAGAGTAAAACTACTTTGTTCCAGAAGAATGACAGATTATCAAGATGCATGCTCAATAGTCAAAATGCTAAATTTCTAAGTAATACAAAACAATCAATGCACGTAAGAGATCTGAAAGAGTAGTAGATGGTGGAAATTAAGGTTTGTACAAGAAGCTTCCAAACAGAATTTTAGCTGAGACTTTTCAGTTACAAACTCAACAACCGCACAGTGATGAAGGAAGCAGAGAATGGCATGCATCTATTTGTGTTTTAATACCACATCCTTCAGTGCAGTATGTGAGCATCTGAATAAAACGCAGCTATTTGTATCATGCCAGTAAATGTCTTGTGCCATAATGGGAAGGAGGAAATGAGATCTTTTGAAATATTCCTTTAAAATGTAAAGTGTGATTACAAAGACTGAATGGAGCATGTATACATGTGCACCCAGCCACCATCTCAAATCTGACTCAAACGTCTGGGCTGCAGCATGTGTGGGAGCTTTATTCCAATCAAACTAAGAAGCATTTCTGGAAAAGAAAAACTTTTTTATAACCCCATACCCTCGACATTTGAAAACCTTTAACTAACTGCAATAACGGCAAACCAACTCATTTACTGTGCAGACCCCGCATGCTACTTTATCTATATGCGCACATACATTTGTGTTCACGTAAAGTAATCCAAGCATGTTAACATACCTGACTAGCCAGTGGCGACTGTATACTCAACTTCCCGTTCTTTGGAATCTCTATTCTGTAGCCCAAAGGGAGGAAAGCGTTGAATCCTACAATGAGGTCGGGATGTTCGTGAAACAGCTGGGAAACGCGCCTGATTACGCCAGGGGTGTCAATGCTAGAACCAAGACGAAACCGTTAACTGCATGCAGGGTCTCCGTCACAAAATGCAGCCACAAAGGAATTCATACGCAGGTACAGATGCATCAGATTGCAAAAATAACTTTGTTTAACAGCACAGGGATTTGAAAGACTTAAGCACTGAGACAATGCTCACTCTCTGCCAGGTATCTGTGAAGTGCCTAGATTTCTCATGGCTCCCTCTACAAGATTTCAAACGCAGCAGGGGGAAGTACTGCTAGCGGAGCTCCGGGTACTTAGCGGAGATACCTCCTCCCCGCAGACCTACACAGCGACCACGCAACGTCAGCATTTCGGTACGTTAGAGCCAGGTGTGCGGGTGTCAGAAAGAACCGTTCCTTTCCCCAGAAACAGGTATCTGTGCAGGTCTGCGGGTCCCAGGCCGTGGCCGCACACCCGGCTGGAAGGTCCGTCCCCTCGACCTGCTCCTCACACGGCCCCTTCCAGAGCGCAGCAGAGGCGGGGACGGACGAGGCCAGGTGTGAATCAAGCACGCGCCTCCTGGTCACAGTCAGCGCCCGCTGTCGGGCAGCCGCGGGGCAGAGGGAGCCGCAGCCGACACAGACGGACGGCAGCAGACCAGAGCCAGCAGCGAAGCCTGCCCGACCCCGCTGCGGGGAGGACCAGGGGAGACGGCCTGCCAGCTCCGGAGCAGGAGAACCTCCCGGGAGCGGGTCGGGCCCCCGGACGCCAGCGCCCAGCCCAGCCCAGCCCGTGCAGCACGGCGCCGCGCGGCCGGAGGAGCCCTCGGGGAGCGGCGTTGGTGCAGGGAAAGGGGCTGCCCTCAGACCAGACAACGCGCCCGCCTCGGAGCCAGCCCTGCCTGGAGCTGCCC